TTGCACTTACTCAAGAGGTGTCCCAGCCGACACCAGCATCAACAGCATAACAGCAATCACATAAACGAGCCTGGCTACTCAGCACATGCGCAGTAGCTGGCAGCCAAAAACGTAATGACGTCACATCAATCAAGCTCCGCCCAGGGCGGAGCTTGATTGATGTGACGTCATTACGTTTTTGGCTGCCAGCTACTGCGCATGTGCTGAGTAGCCAGGCTCGTTTATGTGATTGCTGTTATGCTGTTGATGCTGGTGTCGGCTGGGACACCTGTTGAGTAAGTGCAATGAGTACCTAATAAAGGAATTGGTTTTTATAATATTGCACCATGAAGTCTTTCTGTTTCTCTCGAGTGCTTGGCATTTCCCCCCATGGATACGTTTGAAGGTGGTCCTTTATCTATTGGAGAAGTGGATTTTCGATTAACTACAAAGTTTTTCATCCTGTTATTTCGATCGATGAGGATCGGTGTGTTGCAGAGTTTCCGTTTCTGAAGATATATTTATGGATGATCTGCCATTATATTATCAAGGTTTTTTGGTGAAAAAATTTTTCATATTTAGACACTTTTTTTGCACAAAAGTTTTTTGCACTTAAAAGTTTTTTATTTTTTTGTGGTATTGGCATATATATATTTTTTTCTGGATATATTTTTTTCTGGACTTATGATTTGATGATTTCTTTTTATACACATTTACTAGCGCAAATTATTTATTTATTGGTACACTTTATATATGGTGATTTTTTTGCAGCTGGTACACTATTAGTAAGTTATATAATTTTGACCATAGGCGCTATTATTAATTTTTCTTGTTAATGATTTATACTCTGAATGGTCTAGGGTCATCAGTGGTGTACCCCAAGGTTCAGTGTTGGGACCCTTACTTTTTAATATATTTTATAAACAATATAGGGTCTGGGATTATAAATCCCATTTCAGTCTTTGCAGATGACACCAAGCTGTGCAGTGGAATAACGTCCTTACAGGATGTCTCCAATTTACAAGCCAACCTCAAAGCACTGTGTAATTGGGCAACTATGTGGCAAATGAGGTTTAATGGTGATAAATGTAAGGTTCTGCACTTAGGGGCTAAGAATATGCATGCATCATACATACTAGGGGGGGTACAACTGGAGGAATCAATGGTGGAGAAGGATCTGGGGGTTCTGGTAGATCACAAGATTAATAATGGCATGCAATGCCAAGCTGCGGTTTCTAAAGCGAGCAAAATCCTCTCTTGTATTAAAAGAGGTATAGACTCCAGATAGAGATATCATATTTACCCCGGTACAAATCATTAGTAACACCTCATCTGGAATATGCAGTTCAGTTTTTGATACCAATTCACAAAAAGAACATTGGGGAACTGGAGAAAGTACAGAGAAGGGCAACCAAACTGATAAGAGGCATGGAGGAGCTCAGCTATGAGGAAAGATTAGAGGAACTGAATGTATTCTCTCTTGAGAAGAGGAGATTAAGGGGGGGTATGATCAACATGTATAAATACATCAGTTGTTCATATAGTGAACTCTGTGTAGAGCTATTCACCCTGAGGTCATCACAGAGGACAAGGGGGCACTCTTTACGTCTGGAGGAAGAGAGATTTAATCTCCAAACACGGAAAGGTTTCTTCACAGTAAGAGCTGTGAAAATGTGGAATAGACTCCCCTCAAGAGTTGGTTCTGGCCAGCTCAGTGAATTGCTTCAAAAAAGGCCTGGATTGTTTATTGGATACACAGAATATAGCTGGATACTAACATTTATAGGTAAAGTTGATCCAGGGAATATCCGATTACCTCTCGGGGGATCAGGAAGTAATTTTTTTCCAGTAGGAGCAAGTTGGATCGTGCTTTGCTGGGGGCTTTTGCCTTCCTCTGGATCAACTGTGGGTATAGGATTATTAAATTTTTTTTTTTATGGTTGAACTGGATGGACTTTTGTCTTTTTTTAGCCAGACTAACTTTGTGACTATGTAACATGTTCCAATAGGAGAATGGTACAACCTTCTCATGTGCAAAATAAGTTCTTGATATGGCTCTTTGCTTGCCTTTATCTGGCCTATGAGGCACTATTCCTCCCACTGACATCAACAATGGAACATAATTCCTTCCACTGACACCAACAACAGGGCGCTATTCCTCCTACTGACACCGACAATGGAACATAATTCCTTCCACTGACACCAACAATAGGGCGCTATTCCTCCTACTGACACCGACAATGGAACATAATTCCTTCCACTGACACCAACAATAGGGCGCTATTCCTCCTACTGACACCGACAATGGAACATAATTCCTTCCACTGACACCAACACCAACAATAGGGCGCTATTCCTCCTACTGACACCGACAATGGAACATAATTCCTTCCACTGGCACCAACAATAGGGCACTATTCCTCCTACTGACACCACTGACAAGGCCCTCCTTAAGTCTGACTGACAGTAAACTGGCCCTTTGTTTAAAAAGTGTGGAGACCCCTGGTATAAAGAATAATATGATCATTGATTTAATCTTATTGTTCAAATTTACAAATTGTTGCCCAAATTGTGAAAATCCAGTGATAAATAAATGTCAAGGTACCCAGTGCTAATAATAGTAATTATTATAATAAATATTATTATGTATGTGATTATTATCTATGCACTTCCAGACCACCTCCTGTAGCTTTACTGCTACAGTGCGGCCCTGCTGTGCTGGATCACAAATATATATATATATATATTTACACCCGCGTGATCCAGCATTTCCTGGTAGGGGGCGCACACCTGCCACCCTGGCTGTGCTGTCATTCGCTACAGCACAAGTCGATTGGTGGGTCTTGGCCAATGATTTATGGCAGGGACCAGCTGTATGGCAGAGCAATTGACAGTTCAGAGCCCTGTGTTGGTAAACAACACAGGGCTCTGTAGAAAGAGCAGAGATGTGGCTGATTTTTTTCTCCCTGCAAAGCAGGGAGTAAAACAGTGACATTGCTTAGTAAAAGCAGCACACATTACACACTTTTACACATTTACAAAACTACACTCCCTCGGCCTCAGAGATTCTGCTCTCTCCTGGCTCTCATCCTACCTGTCACAACGCTCCTTCAGCGTTTACCTATAATGCTACCACGTCCCCCTCACTCCCCCTCTCTGTTGGGGTCCCTCAAGGCTCTGTCCTTGGGCCCCTTCTCTTCTCCATCTATACCTCCTCCCTTGGCCAACTCATACACTCTCACGTCTTCAAATAGCACCTCTATGCCGACGACACACAAATCTATCTCTCAACCCCCCACCTCACCCCTTGGTCTCAGCCCGAATCACACACACCTACTGAGCGACATATCAGACTGGATGTCGCTCCACTTCCTTAAATTGAACCTCTCCAAAACCAAGTTTCTTGTCTTCCCCCCAGCCCGGACACCACCCCCCATTGATTTCTCTGTCACATCCAACAACGCTACCATCAAACCCGCCCCGCAGGCCAGAGTACTGGGTGTCATTCTGGACTCCAACCTATCCTTCCAGCCCCAAGTCCAATCTTTAACAAACTCGTGCAGACTCCACCTCCGCAACATCGCCAAAATCCGCACGTTCCTAACCCCAGAAACCACTAAACAGCTCATCCACTCCCTCATCATATCACGACTCGATTACTGCAACTGCCTCCTCACTGGCCTGCCTCGCCGCTGGCTATCCCCGCTTCAGTCGATCCTGAATACGGCTGCCAGACTCATTCACCTTTCCAACCGCTCTGTCTCCGCCACCCCCCTCTGCCAATCCCTCCACTGGCTTCCGATTGCGCAATGGATCAAATTCAAAATCCTAACACTGACGTACAAAGCTGTCCACCATACTGCCCGAACTACAACACTGACCTAATATCCAAGTACCGCCCAGCACGCACACTCCGCTCCTCACAAGACCTCCTTCTCTCTAGTTCCCTGGTCTCCTCCTCCCATGCCTGCCTCCAGGACTTCTCCAGGGTGTCATCCATCCTCTGGAACTCCCTGCCCCAACCCATCAGATTATCACCTACTCTCCTCTCCTTTAGGCGCACCCTGAAAACCCCTCTCTTCAGGGAAGCCTACCCCACCCCCTGCTAACTTGCCGACCTCCTCCACTCTTCCTACCACTCCATCCCCCACAGCTATCTCGTCCTGTGCCACCACCCCCTCCCTCCTAGATTGTAAGCTCGAAAGAGCAGGGCCCTCGAACCCCTCGTGTATCACATTGTATTGGTATTGTTCTGTCACATGTTCTGTCCCCCTTTGTAATGTACAGCGCTGAGCGAACTATTGGCGCTTTATAAATACTGTATAATAATAAATAATAATTGTTAGGCACACAGTGAAGGCTTGATTGTCCCTAGATGTTAACCCCTTCCCAGCCAGTGTCACTAGTACAGTGACAGTGTATAGTATTAACACTGATCAGTGTCCCTGGGGATGTCAGTGTCAGTTAGTGTCAGATTGCCCACTGCACTATCACAGTCCTACTATAAGTCACTGATCGCAGCCATTACTAGTATGAAAAATTAATACAAATTCCAGTATATAAACCATCATTTGTAGACGCTATCATTTTCGCACAAACCAATATTGTTTTTTTTTCTCCAAGTTCATTCTTTTTTTGTTTGTATATTAAAAATTATTTTTATTATTATTTCATGCAAGTGTGGTGTTGCATGACCACACAATTGCCAGTTAAAGTAGTGCAGTGCTGAATAGTAAAAAAAAAATGGTCTGGTCATAAAGGCATGAAGGGGGTAAAACCTTCCAGAGCTCAAGTGGTTATGATGATGATGCCTCTCCTCCAGCTTTGCTGGCTCTGACAGTTGTTATGGAAGCTTTGGGTTGCTAGGGGCGGGTCACATGGCGCCGGTCACATGACACGCAGATCTTCTCCCAGTATGGAATCTCCCAGTGTGATGACGCTGGAAGGTGTGTGTGATGAGGAAGTGCTGTGATCGGCCATGACTGTCTAGAGATCGGATCGTGGAGAGCAGATCGGAGGGCATGGCGGAGGGGGGCAGTACGGTGTCTGCCCTGGAGGCGGCCATCATCCATGGACTCCGACAGCTGAGAACTCGGTACCTGCAGAGAGGGGGGAGGGCGGCGGCGGCGGCGGAGGAGGACAGCACCGGGGACCCGGACAGTTCTCTGAACAGGCTGCCGGTAAGTGACCGACAATCCGGGGCTGGGGTGACACCACTGGTCATATCCATGTACTGGGGACACAGGGGTCCAATATTGGGGGAGGGGTTCAGTTCTCTTCATCGGTTGGCTTTGTTCTGTATATTACACACTTGTTCTGACTGCTGTGTCTGTATTCTCCCATATATACTCCATATATCTCATCTCCATACATGCCATGTCAGAGGGGGGTCTCCATACATACCTACCCGTCAGAGGGGTCTCCACACAGACCTACCCGTCAGAGGGGTCTCCACACAGACCTACCCGTCAGAGGGGTCTCCACGCATACCTACCCGTCAGAGGGGGAGGGGTCTCCACGCATACCTACCCGTCAGAGGGGTCTCCACACATACCTACCCGTCAGAGGGGTCTCCACGCAGACCTACCCGTCCACGCAGACCTACCCGTCAGAGGGGTCTCCACGCAGACCTACCCGTCAGAGGGGTCTCCACGCAGACCTACCCGTCAGAGGGGTCTCCACGCAGACCTACCCGTCAGAGGGGTCTCCACGCAGACCTACCCGTCAGAGGGGTCTCCACGCAGACCTACCCGTCAGAGGGGTCTCCACGCAGAGGGGTCCTACCCCCGTCAGAGGGGTCTCCACGCAGAGGGGTCTACAAGTCAGAGGGGTCTCCACGCAGCCGTCAGAGGGGTCTCCACGCAGACCTACCCGTCAGAGGGGTCTCCACGCAGACCTACCCGTCAGAGGGGTCTCCACGCATGCCTACCCGTCAGAGGGGTCTCCACGCATGCCTACCCGTCGTCAGAGGGGTCTCCACGCAGGCCTACCCGTCAGAGGGGTCTCCACGCATGCCTACCCGTCAGAGGGGTCTCCACGCATGCCTACCCGTCAGAGGGGTCTCCACGTCAGAGGGTCTCCACGCCCTACCCGTCAGAGGGGTCTCCACGCATGCCTCCACCCGTCAGAGGGGTCTCCACGCAGACCCACCCGTCAGAGGGGTCTCCACACAGACCCACCCGTCAGAGGGGTCTCCACACAGACCCACCCGTCAGAGGGGTCTCCACACAGACCCACCCGTCAGAGGGGTCTCCACACAGACCCACCCGTCAGAGGGGTCTCCACACAGACCTACCCGTCAGAGGGGTCTCCATCGAGACCTAAGACAGAAGAAACATTCACTCAGCGCTACCTTTGCTATCACTGGAAGGTAATCCTATAAAATCCGATTAAATCATGTATAGGAGAGGGGTTTAGATCATTTGCACAAATCTGCAGAAACACAGAGGTGATTTAAATGGTCTAAAACCCCCTCAATAGCAACATATAAAACTATACGTGTGAATCTGAAATAAAGAATATAAAATAAATCCTGGTCCGGCTTCCTGCACCGCTTCACCGCTGAGGCAATGTCATCCTGCGGCTTCCACCTGGATAGGACTTGGTCATGGAGGCTTCCCCTTCTGTCACTACATGCCCATTGCATTAGACTTTTGTGAGTGAATTTTATTGTATATTGATGTCTTCTTAACAAACTGAGCTACACTGTCGGTTGCCTGGCTCCTCTCTTTCCCTTCCTTTTTTCTCCATATAGACCTATCTGTCAGAGGATCTCCATACATGCCTACCTTTCAGAGAATTTCCTTTTTATACCTACCTGTTAGAAGGTCTTCATATATGCCTACCAGTTAGATGTGTGTAGTGTGCATGTTTAGATGGGCAGGGGCTCATTTAGACAGGCACTGATACCTTGCGTCCTCCTTGGAAATGCGTGCAGGCAGCTTATAGACATTTACAGTGGGGCAAAAAAGTATTTAGTCAGCCACCAATTGTGCAAGTTCTCCCACTTTAAAAGATGAGAGAGGCCTGTAATTGGCATCATAGGTAGACCTCAACTATGAGAGACAAAATGAGAAAACAAATCCAGACAATCACATTGGCTGATTTGGAAAGAATTTATTTGCAAATTATGGTGGAAAATAAGTATTTGGTCACCTACAAACAAGCAAGATTTCTGGCTCTCACAGACCTGTACCTTCTTCTTTAAGAGGCTCCTCTGTCCTGCACTCACTACCTGTATCAATGGCACCTGTTTGAACTTGTTATCAGTATAAAAGACACTTGTCCACAACCTCAAACAGTCACACTCCAAACTCCACTATGGTGAAGACCAAAGAGCTGTCGAAGGACACCAGAAACAAAATTGTAGACCTCTACCAGGCTGGGAAGACTGAATCTGCAATAGGCAAGCAGCTTGGTGTGAACAAATCAACTGTGGGAGCAATAATTAGAAAATGGAAGACATACAAGACCACTGATAATCTCCCCTCGATCTGGGGCTCCACGCAAGATCTCACCCTGTGGGGTCAAAATGATCACAAGAACGGTGAGAAAAAATCCCAGGACCACACGGGGGGACCTAGTGAATGACCTGCAGAGAGCTGGGACCAACGTAACAAAGGTTACCATCAGTAACACACTACGCCGCCAGGGACTCAGATCCTGCAGTGCCAGACGTGTCCCCCTGCTTAAGCCAGTACATGTCCAGGGCCGTCTGAAGTTTGCTAGAGAGCATTTGGATGATCCAGAAGAGGATTGGGAGAATGTCATATGGTCAGATGAAACCAAAATAGAACTGTTTGGTAGAAACACAACTCGTCGTGTTTGAAGGAGAGAGAATGCTGAGTTGCATCCAAAGAACACCATACCTACTGTGAAGCATGGGGGTGGCAACATCATGCTTTGGGGCTGTTTCTCCGCAAATGGACCAGGACGACTGATCCATGTACAGGACAGAATGAATGGGGCCATGTATCGTGAGATTTTGAGTGCAAACCTCCTTCCATAAGCAAGGGCATTGAAGATGAAACGTGGCTGGGTCTTCCAACATGACAATGATCCCAAACATGCCGCCCGGGCAATGAAGGAGTGGCTTCGTAAGAAGCATTTCAAGGTCCTGGAGTGGCCTAGTCAGTCTCCAGATCTCAACCCCATAGAAAACCTTTAGAGGGAGTTGAAAGTCCGTGTTGCCCAGCGACAGCCCCAAAACATCACTGCTCTAGAGGAGATCTGCATGGAGGAATGGGCCAACATACCAGCAACAGTGTGTGCCAACCTTGTGACGACTTACAGGAAACGTTTGACCTCTGTCATTGCCAACAAAGGATATATAACAAAATATTGACATGAACTTTTCATATTGACCAAATACTTATTTTCCACCATAATTTGCAAATAAATTCTTTCCAAATCAGCCAATGTGATTGTCTGGATTTTTTTTCTCATTTTGTCTCTCATAGTTGAGGTCAACCTATGATGCCAATTACAGGTCTCTCTCATCTTTTTAAGTGGGAGAACTTGCACAATTGGTGGCTGATTAAATACTTTTTTGCCCCACTGTATGTAGATGCAGCAGCTGCACAGGCACTAATCTGACATGTGCGCATGAGCGGGTGCACGGATCTGAACGTATGTGTGTTTACAGCAGAGCTGATGTTGCTGTATGCTGTGCTTCCTATTAGTGAATCATACCAGTGCTGCTTTCTGCAATTTTCAGATGGATTTGATAGGCGGTGAGGAGGCAATATGTCACCTCCTCACCATCTGCTTTAACCCTGCAAATGCCACAGTACCGCACATCAACTGTATGCATTGCATGCGGTTGCAGGGTAGTTGCAGTTGGGCCCCATTCACCTGAATGGGTCATGGTCAATGGTGGTACCTCCCAGCAGTTGGTGTAGTAGTACACTTTGCTCAACCACCTGCTTTTCGGTCCATCTATGGCCAGTTTAAGTCCAGTTTTTAGAGGGTAAGAGAGTTAAAGCCCAGCTCTGCACTGCAAGGGTTCAGCTTTAGGCCTCATGCACACACAGTGTCAATAACACGGCTTTTAGGGGCATTTGACTTTTTTATTCTGCCTCTAAACACCCCTCTATGTTAGCCTATGTGTCCATGCAGACCTACTGTAGGTGTTTACAGGTAGGCAAAAAAGCCCAGGGCCAGCACATTCAGGGGAGAATTGTTTTGTCGCAAAAAGCGGGCGGAACGCACCCAGATGTGTGTAATGAAATGAATGAACGCCAAAATGCTTGATGCAGCTGAATGCATCTGAATGTGTTTGAAACAACGCAGCTTTAGGCATATTTTTAATGTGGCCTTCGCATGCCAGGAGAATGAAGTTTAGAGCGCACAGGTGTGCATGAGGCCTTTACGTTTGTCATTTTTTTCTTTTTACCCTATCAGGAAGCTTCTCCCTCAATTTTTGGAAATACATGGTACAGTTGTCTTCTGGATATTAAAATGGCAGGAGCTAGAACATTTCCTCACTCAATGAAGAAGGAGTCAGAGAAAGGAGGCACTGCTCTGATTCACTCTTTTCTGTGTGTAAATCTCAGCATGAACTATTGAGCTCTGTAAACAAACAGGCATTTTTATCATAGGGGATAAGGATAGCCTAGAAAATACGTGAAAAGTGTGTCTAGGGGTTCACCTTCTGGCAGTAAATACAGGAGTGAAAAACATCCATATGCAGTATTTCATTTTTTAGCTGAATTAAAATAGTTTAGCAATAACATTTTTCATCTTGACCATAATAAAGAAAAAAATACAAGAAAAAAGCACTGTATACCCCCGTAAGAGTTTTGAAAGGCTGAATTGATCTGTAAATGGTGCCCTCTCCATCACTTTTCCACCATGTATGCTGGATAAAATGTTTCTTTAGTCTATGGGGCTCTGAAAGAGAAGAATTGTTACTTTACTCCATGGTCCTATGACTGCTCCAGTCTTCTTCTGTCCCTTCCTAGGATGTTGACAGTACCTAGGACAATGCTGGATCAGTGGTGATGGTATCACTGGTGGCTGCTGGTCCTGCATTTTACGTGATGATGACAATGAGAGGGGAGATGACATGACTGAGGAAGAGGAGTGTGTTCAGGGGACTGGTGTCAACTACTAGAACCAATGCGGAAGATGCCTGCAGGATCGTGTAGTAAGAGAAGTATTCTCTGTAGACTAAACAAGCATTATATCCTGTATATATGGGGGAACACATGGCTCCTTTTTTCAGGCAGCCTGCTGTAGGGATTTAGATAAATGCCTAACTGGTGTTTCTTTTATATCACATTGAGTTATGTGCATGGAATTATTTTAATGGTATTGTTTATCTGCAGACCGACATGCAGCTGTACATCTTGTCATTCCTCACCCCACAAGACCTATGTAGGCTTGGAATGACAAACCGTTACTGGAATGAAATGGTACAAGACCGCCTTCTATGGAAATACTTCCTGCTGCGAGACCTTCCCACCTGGTCCTCCATTGACTGCCACAGCTTGCCCGATGTTACTCTCCTCAACTCCTGCCTTTCTGAATCCGAGCAGATGGATGCCAATTTTATGTCCATGTGAGTCTTTCTGCGGAAGTAACCTGCTGGGCCTATATATAAAAATAGTGGAGCGCTACCACAACCTACTAATCTAGGACAGGCATAATATATTGCAAGATATAAATGGCACAAAGGTGGATAATAGTGTCATACATACACAAAAAAAAAAAATTAAATTGTAGTGATACAGTGCATGTGCTCATATATTCAAATGCAGTTCATGCTGTATAAAAGTCCATAAAAAGAACTTTCCAAATTTGGTGACATAGAAAACGCAGCAAGCTATGTGGGGTGATCACAGTGCCACACAGTGTGCAGACAAATCCACAGATGGCCAAGGTGGCTCCTCACCTTTCAAATGAGACCCAATGGGTCAACTCACCGTGTGGGTGGCCCACATGTGCCAAGAAAGGTATCTCCAAGGATGGAACACTAGGGAAAAACGACCTTATTGCTTCTGGGTCTTCTATCTCAAGGATACTCAAATCCACATGACCATAATGGGATGATATCAAAAACAGAAAAGATCCTTCATAGTGTAATCCTGCTTTTTATTAGACATATAAACAAACAGAGCCAATTGCCCACTCACATGTAAATCATATATAAAAACACCTTTTTCCCATAACATGGGTGTATACTCATGGTTCTGATGCTAGGAACACCCAGCTCCACTCTTTCCACGGTAACTCCAAAAAAATGGCGTCAACGTCGGAAGTGATGTCTCTACATTTCCAGAAATGCTGTCAATGCGTACCAACCTGCTGGGCCTTACTTTATTTGTTAAAGTGATCTAGTCGGCCACTAAAAGTTCCAAATGAAAGTTCCCGGCAGTAGAAGAGTTCCATCAGACACTGCATCATTCAACATTTCTGGCATTGATGGGTGCCTGTGTCCCTCCACTACATGCTGTAGCTCTAGCCTCCGAACCCTACGCCACTGCTCTGTATTTTACTAACGTAGAGGTTGGAGGATGGAACCACACTGGGAGACACAAACATCTGATAATCTTGGAAGTGCCAAACGCAGAAGAACATGGCAGGATGGCTTTGGGGTGTATGAAGAAAATGGTTCTTTTTATTCCTCTATACTGCACTGTTAAGATGCCCATGGAAATAGAAGGGGATCAAATATGCAGCCATATTCCCCATGGACACCACTGTCTTAGGACTACTCTACTAGGCTCCATGCACACTAGTGGTTTTTTTAAGCTGCTAGAAGCTATTATTAACGTATTGTTTTCTGCTCCTAGAAGCTAAATAGTGTTATCCTATGTTTCCATGCACACTACTTCAGGCTTTTAGTATTTTTTGAGCTTCAGCTTCTAGTAGCAGAAAAACAAATTGTTTTTGTAGTTTTTTTGGAGCATTTTTCCAGCAGAAAAAAACTGCTATAAAACTCCTTAATGCTCAAATTATCATAACCGCTTTTTTTTCTAGCTTTTTATTTTTCCAGTACATGTACTGTAAAAACACTAATAAAACGCTACCGCTCCTAAATGGCACTAAAAGACGCTATTACCAGCGTTTTTCCCAGCATTTTTTTTGGCTCGATGCACACTGTCATTTTCTTAAGCTCCTAGAAGCCGTTATTAGCATTTTTTTTCTGCTCCTAGAAGCTAAATAGTGTTATCCTATGTGTTCATGCACACATTTGGGCTATTAGCATTTTTTTGAGCTTCAGTGTCTAGGAGCGGAAAAAAAAAATTGTTTTAGCAGAGTTTTTTTCCTCTGCATGTACTGTAAAAAACACTACTAAAATGCTAACGCTCCTAAATGCTACTAAAATGCTATTAAAAAAAACTATTACCAGCGATTTTTAATCGAGCAGTGTTTGAGCTTTAAAAAAAATGCCAGTGTGCATGGAGCCTAATAGTGTACACGCCACCAAAGGAAACGGAGGGGTTACGGCCAGACAGCTCTTCTAACCACCTATCTGTGGTGGACAGGGGGGAATCACTGGAGCTCTCTGTTGGGTGAGCTTTAATTCAACACAAAAATTAGGTTGTTTTTTTGCCTCCTGTTTTTTTATCATAATATATTTTAGCATATCCATTTGCTGTAATAATGCCTAGGTTTACAGCCTGGGGCTAGGCTGAAGTTAAAGAGATTCTGCCAGTTTTCTTATTCAGGGATAAGTGACAGGTTTTCTTGAAAACTCTCTCCCACCCACTACTACCCATCTTTTCCTGTCACTCTATTTGTTGAAGGCAGTACTTTCCGGGCATGGGGGTGACCTTTATCCCTTCCTTTCACGATGCAGTGATCAAGTCTGAGCGACCAATCATTTGATCCAAATACTGTCATGGGGGAGGGGAGAGGGTCATTAACCCTGTGTAAGCCTCAACACTGGCCAAGCCATTATTACGTTCCATTTTTTTAATTAGACTTTATATTAGAACTTCAGATTTTAGTTCCCATTTATTTACACAGATTTTCCTTGTTAATAGCTACTTGAGGAGCTGCCCAAAGACCAGAAAATCTATACGGTCCAAGAACCCCATTTATGGAGCAGTGACATCATTCCTTCAATCACTGGTCATGCAAGGGGAGCCTCGGTTTGCCATGTTTGGTCCTGGCCTCGAGCAGCTGGATGATTCCTTGGTCACACGAATGATGACATCTCCAGATCTGCTACCTGTGGTCAGCATACTTCAAAGACAGATTGATGGTGAGTCTCAGACCAATCAGGAAAACGTGCGAATATATATAGGACTTGCATTCAAGCTATTTCCCGTAGGTAGATTGCCTTTAGGCTCTGCCCCAGCATATTTTTCAGTTGAATTGGTTATCAAGAATTCTGCTGGCTTGTAACTAAGCCAAAGAAAGACGAGGATGAGGCACTGGACACAAGGCCTTAACCCGTATTGAGGAATCATATGTAATGTCTATTGGCTTAGTTTCAGCAGCTCTCCAAAGAGTGGGGCCTCCTTTAAAAAAAACAGGGGCCAACCAAATTGAGAAATGCATGTGAGGAGAAAAAAAAAAGGGGATCTCAAAGGTTTGTTTCGAGAGTCCAAAATTCTTTGTTTATTTATATATATATATAAAAAGAAAATTGGATTGCTGCACATAAAAAAACTTTTTTATTGTTGAAAAATCACCATACAAAAGGGTGATCCCAAAATAATGGACAAAGCAATACATCACAGTGTTGAACAAACAGTTTCGGGATATTATGTTAACACCCTTCTTCAGATCAGTAATGTTACTTAGATCAATATATTACATACATCATAATTGGAATCAATTATATAATTAACCACAAATTGAATGCACATCAGATGAACATCTTCTAATAAAGGTGGTGGTTTAAGAGTGAAAATTCTGTCAGGAAGAAACATCCCCATATTAAAGATCTGGAATGTAAACATAATACCTATTATAAAAAGCTCATGTGTATATATAGTAAGGAAAAACCAAGAAGAAATGAAAAAGTACGTGTGTGTGTGTGTGTGTGTGTATGTATGTATGTATGTATATGTATGTATATGTGTATGTATGTATATATGTATATATATATATATATATATACACACACACACACCACCACTTACACTCACACACTCACACGTATATATACAAAAGCCAGAAAAAAAATTGAAAAAACCACAAAAGAATTATTTAAAAGAAATAAATACAGCTCAAACGCCGTATGTAACCCTTCCGATGATCCATTGAACCTCCCGTTGTCTAAGTTGCAATTCCCTGTTACCTCCACGTCTATTTCTAGGAATCCCATCAATAACCATAAATCTGAGTTGAGAAACCGTATGACCCTTTTCTACAAAATTTCTTGCTAGCTTTACCTTTGTGAGTTTATCTCTAATAGAGTGTTTGTCTAGCTATTCTAACCTTTACCTTTTGGGTGGTCTCGCCAATATATAACAAACTACATGGACATTTTATCATATAAACCGCAAATGATGATTGACAGGTATAGTGTTCCTTGATGGATATATTGTAATCTAAATGAGGATGAGAGAAAGATTTTCCCTTTATCATATTGTTATATTGTATACAACTGAGACACGGATAAGAGCCAAAATTACGAGGACCCAAAAACGTTAAAGGAAACTTGTGTGGTGATTTTTCAACATTAAAATTTTTTTATGTGCAGCAATCCAATTTTCTTTTCTTTCTATATATGGCCTTTGGGAGGGCCTGATTGGTATGCACTGTGATTGATCATCGTTGTGCACTCCACCCATATTACTGATATACATACATACATACATACATACATACATATACAGTTGCAAGAAAAAGTATGTGAACCCCTTGGGATTACGTGGAGTTTTGCATGAATTGGGCATAAAATGTGCTCTGAACGTCATCTAAGTCACAACAATAGAAGAACACAGTCTGCTGAACATAATACTACACAAACATTAGATGTTGCCATGGTTTAATTGCACATAACATGTAAACATTCACAGTGCTGGGAGGAAAAAGTATGTGAGGCCCTAACTTAATGACTTCTCCCAGAGCTAATTGGAGCCAGGAGTGAGCCAACCTTGACTCCAATCAGTGTGATGATATTGGATGTGTTGCTGACAGCTGTCCTGCCCTTAAAAAAACACACACCTGTTTTGGGTTTACTGGTTTCAAGAAGCACTGTCTGATGTGAACCATGCCTCGCAGAAAAGAGCTCTCAGAAGACCTACGATCAAGAATTGTTGACTTGCATGAAGCTGGAAAGGGTTACAAAGTATCTCCAAAAGCCTTGATGTTCATGTGTCCACGGTAAGACAGACTGTCTACAAATGGAAAAAGTTTAGCACTGTTGCTACTCTCCCTAGGCATGGTCGTCCTGTAAAAATGACTGCAAGAGCACAGCGCAGAATGCTGCATGAGGTAAAGAAGAATCCCAGAGTGTCAGCTAAAGACCTACAGAAGTCTCTGGCACATGCTAACATTTTTGTTGACACATCTACAATAAGGAAAAACATTAAACAAGAATGGAGTACATGGGAGGACACCACGGAGGAAGCCCAAAACGAATTTTGCAGTCACGTTTGAAGTTTGAAAAAGAGCACCTGGATGTTCCACAGCACTACTGGCAAAATATACTGTGGACAGATGAAACCAAGATTGAGTTGTTTGGGAAGAACACACAACACTATGTGTGGAGAAATACAGGCACAGCACACCAACATCAAAACCTCATCCCCACTGTAAAACATGGCGGAGGGAGCATTATGGTTTGGGGCTGCTTTGCTGCCTCAGGGCCTGGACGGATTGTTGTCATTGATGGGAAAATGAATTTCAGAGTTTATCAATACATTTTGCAGGAAAACGTACGACCATCTGTCCGCCAACTGAAGCTCCGCAGAGGATGGGTGATGCAACAGGACAATGACCCAAAGCATACAAGTAATTCCACAAAACAATGGCTGCAACAGCACAGAATACGCCTTCTGGAGTGCCAGTGCCAGTCAGAGTCCTGACCTCAACCCGATTGAAATGCTGTGGCATGACCTTAAGAGAGCGATTCACACCAGACATCCCAAGAATATTGCTACACTGAAACAGGTTTGTGAAGAGGAGTGGTCCAAAATGACTCCAGATCGTTGTGCAGGTCTGATCTGCAACTACAGGAAACGTTTGGTTGAGGTTATTGCTACCAAAAGAGGGTCAACCAGTTAAGTCCAAAGGTTCACATACTTTTTCCTCCCAGCACTGTGAATGTTTACATGTTATGTGCAATTAAACCATGGCAACATCTAATGTTTGTGTAGTATTATGTTCAGCAGACTGTGTTCTTCTATTGTTGTGACTTACATGACGTTCAGAGCACATTTTATGCCCAATTCATGCAAAACTCCACGTAATCCCAAGGGGTTCACATACTTTTTCTTGCAACTGTAGATAGAAACATGACAAGGATAGGGTTGCAAACATACAGTATAAGAATTGACTGTTGGCAACATATTCTCTAGTCGTGTTTTTCATAGCTAAAATGGCTGTCTGCTGAATGTCCATGGGAGACTAGATTGTATTTTGAGTGTCATTTCTTCAGTCATTGTGGGAGGTGTGGATCTCCTCCTGTGGAGTTATGCAGTATAAGTCAAATATAGTCATCATTAATATTTTCTTTTACAGGCATTGGCTCTGGTGTAACTTTTCAATTAAATAACCAACATAAATTTAACATCTTAACCCTCTATTCTACTACACGGTAAGTGCCTAACATGAAGCTATAATTGTTTTGGGTTTTTAGGCTTGTAAGGTTTTAAATTGTGTATTTCATATCCGGTTGACATGACAGAGGATTTCCAGAGCACCATGGGTTAGCTAAAGTGACTGCAGAGCATCTGGTTTCAGGTTTCCCTTTGTCCAGTTGAAATCATAGACTGTGCTGTTTAGCAAGGAATAAGTTACTGCTCTAATTAATATGATATAAAAAAGTTTCAGGGCTTGAGATAAAAAAGAGCAATTCTGATCAGCACAGTCACACTGTAGTGCTCTGATTCAACCCAGAAGCCACTGAACCCTGAACCAATACACTGGCTGTGTGGGCACTGACAGCTAATCACCCACAGAGGTGTATGGAAAAGGTGTTAACCTCCTTGGCGGTATGATTCTTTCCGATTTTTTTTGTGCTGAAAGCGGTACCATTTTTTTGCATGGAAATATGTAGTTTTTTATTGTAGGCTGTAATTTTTAGGAATAACTCACTGAAATCTGTCCGAACAAGAGTCTATTAAACATTCCGGATATGATAAAATTTGAAACACGAAATCATAAATTATAATTTAATAAATAATCACAAAAAATAATATAATAATAAATTTAATTCAATAATATAATCAAACCAAAAACACTGAAATTTGAAATACAGAGGCAAATTCGCACATCGCTGAGCAAAGTCGCAAAATCGTTTTCAGTGTCTGATGACGAATTTCCCCACGAATCATTATCACTCAATTCTGCAAGTGGTTCTGATTTACTATCGCTATTTTAAAACTGATTTTGACGTAAAGGGACGCTTTTTGGACACCATGGACTTTTCTAAGTTTCCAGGCAGAAAGAACAGTCAAAATGCAGGCAGGGCACAGGACAAAGCAGTAGGGACAAAATGTATGTGAAATGCATTGACATAGCAATGACAGCAAAAATTACATTTTTAAAAAAATTCAAATTTCCCGCCGGTTCCGGCTCCCGTACGTCCCGACGTCACAGGGACCGGAACACAGAAGCCGGATGCCGGCATCGGCCGGAGGAGATGGCCGGGGACGCTGGAGGGGACACATCGTGGGAGCAAAGGACAAGGTAAGTGCTGCAGGGACCCCCAGAGCAGCGCCGCATGGTAAGCCCGAGTGTAGCTCGGGTTACCGCTTTTGGTATAGAAATTTTACCCCGAGCTACACTCGGGAACACCGCTAAGGAGGTTAATGAATTAGAAGAGTTGGTAACTGGCTGTGCCAGCTAGCATTGCTAACACAGCCAATAACCACTTTAAGACGAGGCTTTTGCTTTTTTTTTTTTTTTTTTTTGATAGAAAATTACTTAGAACCCCCAAACATTGTTTTTTTTCAGCAGAGGTCCTAGAGAATAAAATGGTGGTCATTGCAAATTTTTATGTATTTGCAAAATTATTTTTTATTTTTAAATACACTTTTTTGAATTTTAATGCACAAAAAGAATATAATATCCAATTGTTATGTAAAATATAAAATAATGATTTTATGGCGAGTAAATAGATACCAAACATGTCAGTCTTTAAAATTCAACACACCTGTGCAGCGGCGACAAACGACGTAAATTTTAATTTTCATAGTTGACCCTTTTAAAGCCTTTACAGGTTACCACTTTAGATTTACACAGAGGGTCTGGTGCTAGAATTAATGCCCTTGATCTGACGTTCTTGGTGATACACCACATGTGTGGTGCGATTGCTGTTTACGTATGTGTGCAGGACCAACGTGTGCATTTGCCTTTGCTTATGAGCACAGGGTGCTTTTGACATTTTTATTTTTCTTTACATTGTCCCTTTTTTTTTTAATTACCTGTACTGTTAACACAGGGAATATAAATATCCCCTGTGATACCAATAGGCAGTGACAGGTAAGGACGTATCTACCGCAAGGCAAACAAGGTGTTTGCCTAGGGCGGCAATTTTTAGGGGGGTGGCACCACCCCCCCAGAGGAAGGGACCTGGTGAGCAGTGGCGGACAGAGCCATACAGGGCCGCAATCTGAAGGGTAGCACCGGTACTCCTGTAGGTGTCCTGGACAGCAGGAGGATCGGTGTGGTGGGGGAGAGCAGTTGCAGAAGGATGCACTGTGCATCTTTCCCTCCAACAGCTGAAAGCCGGTTTGAGGTTTCTCCTCCTCTCCCTCCCATCGGCTTTCTGCTGCTGAGGGAGAGACAGACCTGGCTGGATCCAGGGGGTTCCCTGGTGTTCCTGAGTGGCTGCTCTCCACTGAGCTCCTTCCCCAGCCCGCACTCAGAGCTGGGACCAGGGGAAAGCCTAGAGCAGGGAGAGGAGAAGTGGTGGAGAGGAAAGAGCTAGGAGGAGGTGAGCTGTGTTGTGTTCTCTGGCCTCTCCCTCCTGTTGTCCATGCAGTACTTGATACACGATCACTGATAGATCATATGTGACTGCATACACACAGTATGATTATCACCCCCTGCTCACATTTCCTGCTGCCCGGAGGTCAGCAGCCCTTGGAGGAGGTGGAGGGGGGGGGTAATCATACTGTGTTTGTGTATACAGTCCCATAGGTCTATCAGTGATCGTGTATCATGTGCTGCTTGGACAACAGGAGGGAGAGCCCAGAGACCACAACACAGCTTACCTCCTCCAAGCTCTTTCCTCTCCACTTTTTCTAGGAAGTGTAATTGGGATTTGGGAAGGGGGGTGGTATTTGCTAGGAGGAATGGGGGAAATATGTGCTAGTAGGGGAGAGAGAGAGAGGAAAGAGAGAGAGAGGGAAGACAGAGAAATAATACACACACACACTCCTAGAACTCTCTCGTTCTCTCATTGGGAAGGGGCACACAATTTTTGTGTTGCCTAGGGTAGCACAAAACCTAAATACACCACTGGTGAAAGGTACTTATAAGTGAGAGGTCTGGGGTCTATTAGACCCCCAAATCTCTCCTCTTCCTTTTTAAAGCTTCGGATCATAACAAGATCAATATGATTCGATCCTTTTTTCAATCCCCTAAGGGTTTGTTTACAACCGCAAAACTGGAAGTGATAAAATGCGCATCGCTTTCGGTTTCTTAGACCACAGAGATGATCAGAGCCATTCCGGTCCCCAATCGGCTCTATGGTTAGCCTGCAGAACTGCCGGCTGAACACTTGGGTCTCCCAGTGGAACGGGAGACCCCAAGAGAGCTGTGAAAGGCAGCGGGAGTGGTGGACCTCCTTTCTTTCTGTTTGTAAAAGCAATCCAGCCGCTAAGGTTGCTTTTACAAGAAAGCTGACCGCCGGCTAAAAAAAAAAACATTACTGGGACGACGGCTGCCGCTGCAGGCATCATCCTGGTATAACCTCTGAAAGTCCAGCAACGTATGGGTGTGTGGCTGGTCCACAAGTGGATAATGCTGTCACCATTCATTATTAATTCCTGTGATTCACGAACGCCTTTTCCATATAGATTACAATAGAAGAGCTCTTTCACGATCCCTATCAAATGCCATGATGAAAAGGGGGTGTTTTTGACCACCGAACTGCATTGGATGTTTTTTTTATCTGTGAACCACTAAAGCGATTTGGATTTCTTTACCATTCGGTCTGGTGCTCTTTCTTTTGATGTTTGCTTTGGATGACTTTCTGGGTACCCTACTAGAGGGTAGCTCCATTGTCTTGTGAGCTGCCTAACCAGAACCAGTGAGCTCTTTGAATGAGCACTCTGTTTTCAATGCCTTGTGTGGATAAAGATTGACATCCCAGTGCCTCTTGGATGTCCTTTTTTTTTGATTGGTGGCTTTGGGGATCCTAGTACTGACACTTCAGTACATTAGGCTGCATGTGAGTAGGTGTGTTTGGTATTTTTTTTTTGGATCAATAGTAGGGGTTCTCAGATCACCAGATTACTGATGAAAGGTACATTAGAGCTCTACATTTATGCCTAGATAAAAAAAATGAAGCCCTGGGAAAGTAGGTTATGCTCTCACTTGCCTCTAAGGGGGTAATTTTAACTGATGTGTATTTACTGTATGATGAATTGAATGATGATCAGAACACTCTAGGTACAAAATTATTCATTTTTTTTTTTTTTTGTCTGGTAAGAATGGGGAATAATGGTCAAAATGACTTTCCAACTTGTTCTCTGCAGACATTACAGGGCATTCACAATCTAAAATATGTCTGCTGCTGGTCAAAATGTGAATAATCAGAAACAAGTGATCAGCCTAAAATCACAGGAGCCCCGTATGATTGCAAAATAGGATGCTAGATTTCATGTACTTAAGGTGGAACATCAGACAGCACAAAATACCACAGCCCTCTGTTCATCAGTACATCGTTAAATGTAAATTAAATACAAGCAGTGTAAGTGCTGAATTTGCATCACCCTCTTGCAATATACACATGGAGCCAATCAGTTGTGCTGTAGTGCTTATGTGCTAACAAGGAACATGCTAATAGGAGAGAGCAGAGTGCCACAGGGATGAGCTTATCAGTGTGCTGCTTCTTCTTTCACTGTCCAGTCACAGACTCAGGGGACAAGACTTGTGTTACTGAACTGCAACAGAGAGAAATCACATTTCCTGCCCTGTTACATAGGCTGTGTGGCAAAGCTGTGACTGTGTAAATCTCAAGATTAGATAGGCAGAATTACAGATCCTTTGACAGAGCAGTTTTTTTTAATGTACCTAATCTGTGTATCTGACTGTTTGCCTGACATGCAGTTTTAAAGTAAGTCTGTGATTTGCCTATCCACGGCAAAGCAATAGGTTCACTTTCAGTATTTACCCTGCTGCTTATATTCCACCTTAGTTTTCTGCCCCATTCATCCACTGGAGCAAAGTAAATAAAAAAGCCCTGTGTGAGCTGTAATTCGCTCTGTTCAGAGCTGACATAGAACTAAGTAATCTGTCCCTGCTGCATCATGGGGAGGATCAATTAAACAATGGGTGAGGGAATGAAAGGTGAGTATAAGCATGAGTGCCCCCATAGCAAGCGGCTTGCTACGGGGACACTCAGCAGCAGGGAACAGGGAGCAGGGGACCCCAGAAGAGGATCATCAAGGCTGCTCTGTGCAAAACCATTACACAGAGCAGGCAAGCATAACATGTTTGTTATTAAAAAAAAAAACTAAATACCTTCAGTATCATTTTAAGCTGGCCATACATGGATATCTCTTTTTTTTTTTTTTTTTTTAACAGCCAGCTAGCTTTAAAAAAAAAAAAAAAAAAAAAAAAAAAAAAAAAGATTCCCCTACCCACCCACATATTTGAGGTGGATAAAGGAATATTCCCCAATGTCCTGTTGTATTCTGACAATGGGAATCCTCCACTGTCAGATGACACTGATCAGCGCTGCAGCCAGTTGGCTGCTGTACTAATCAAACTAAATTTTTAAACATTACCATTCATGAGCAGTCAATCATTACAGTAGATCAACTTCTCACAAAATTCATTCAGTCCCTTCTGAAGCATCCGAATTTCGATCCATCTATGGGCAGCTTTATCTAAGGCACTCCTGCCAGCAGACATACTCTGATGTCATCCCATACAATCAGGACCAATAGTCCCGCATTGTACTTGAAGCAGCAAGGGCCCACTCACAACTCTGAGTGCCCCAAGAAGAGAGGAGAGAACCAGAACACTGGAGCAGGGAATATGCTAAGCAATTATACCTCTATACTTAAAGCTGATTTCTATGTTTAAAATCCCTTTAAAAAGTTTGTGTGGACCAAGCTGGCCCAACCAAACTATTTATTTCACTAACAGGTGCACTTGTTGGGCATGCTGTATTAACTGTACACAGCCTCAGCTACATACAGTATACAGCGCTGTGTTCCAGCAATGGGATGAGGACTTCCCGTCTCACTTCTGGAACAAAACAGAGTCAGGAAGCATGAATACAAAGTGGGTATGTGTTCGTACGTGTGTGTGTGTGTGTGTGTGTGCATTCAGCATGCACAGCCATTGGTTCTGTGGTTGGCAACACACAGCGCCTGGGGCTTCCTGGCATGGAAATATGCCCGGTTTTTATGTTGTGCGGCCGTGTGCATAAGACTATAATGAGTACACTCTAGATCAGTGGTCTCCAAACTGCGACCCTTTGCTTGCCTCTATTCAACCCACAGAGTGCTATTCCTCCCACTGATACCAATAAGGAGGCACCATTTCTTCCACTGGCACCAACTATGGGGCATTTTTACTTTCACTGACACCAATGATGGGGCACAATTCCTCCCACTGATATAAACAATTAGGTACTATTTCTCCAACTAATACCAAGGATGGGGCACTATTCCTTCCTCTGATACCAATGATGGGGCACTATTCCTCCCACTGATACTAATGATGGGGTACTATTCCACTGATACCAATAATGGGACACTATTCATCCCACTGATACTAATGATGGGGTACTATTCCTCCCCCTAACACCAATGATGGGACACTATTCCTCCCACTGACACCAATGATGGGGCACTATTCCTCCCCCTGACACCAATGATGGGACACTATTCCTCCCACTGACATTAATGATGGGTCACTATTCCTCCCCCCCTGACACCAATGATGGGTCACTATTCCTCCCCCTGACACCAATGATGGGGCACTATTCCTCCCCCTGACACCAATGATGGGGCACTATTCCTCCCCCTGACACCAATGATGGGGCACTATTCCGCCCCCTGACACCAATGATGGGGCACTATTCCTCCCCCTGACACCAATGATGGGGCACTATTCCTTCCCCTGACACCAATGATGGGGTACTGTTCAACTAATACCAATGACTGGACACTATTCCTCTTTCCACTGACTACATGCACGATGTCATTTTTGTTTACTCCTGACTCTGGGACATTTTCTACTCCCACTGGTCACTCCGACCCTCCTAAAGTCTAAAAGACAGTAAACCAGGCCTTTGTTTAAAAAGTTTGGAGACCCCTGATCGAGATCTAAAGTGGGGGCAAAACCAGTGCTGGTAACATATTTCCATGCAGGGTGATAATAGTCAGGGGAATTCCCCTCTGACACAGTTGTCACTAGAACTGGGGTCTTCATTGGAAGAGAGCCCCTCTTATGCTGTTCTGGCGACAACTGTAAAATTTTGGATTTTTCAGACCCCACTGTCAGGGGTGATCAAGACACAGAGCAGCTGCATCTCCATAGCTGGACACTGACCGCAACACAAACCTCACAGGGGTTCTGACTGTTCCCTACTCCATTCAAAACTAGGAATAAAAAACTTTGGGGTATACATAGACAATTCAATATTGCTTTAATGTTGGTATTAGAAGGTTTGGAAGCAATATTTGTGATAGCACTAAATCATTTCTCTCCTCTTTTAGCATGGAGCGTGACAGAGCGCGAGCAGAGCAGAGTGCATCAGCCAATAAGATGTTCCTGGCAGACAATCCACAGGACAGAAATCCGAAAGTTCTCTACACTCTCATTCCACAAGTGCAGGAAGTGTGCCGGGTGGTGGAAGGCTTCATCTATGTGGCAAACGCTGAAGCACATACAAGTAAGAGTAGCTGGTGGCTGCCGGCTATTACATATTATTCAGAATGAACTGGTGTGGCCATATTGCGGAGGTTACTGGATCCTCAGTTGCAATCCAGAAATGACATATTATTTATTATTATTTATTTCAGGTACTTATATCGCTGTCAATTTACGCAGCGCTTTACATATATATTGTACGTTCACATCAGTGCCTAACCTTTAAGGGGCGCATAATCTAAGGCCCCTAACTTACATTCATACATACATGTACTAGGGCCAATTTAGACAGGATCCAATTAACCTACCTGCATGTCTTTGGAGTGTGGGAGGAAACCGGAGTACCCGGAGGAAACCCACACAGGCACAGGGAGAACATGCAAACTCCAGGCAGGTGGTGCCGTGGTTGGGATTCAAAGCAACGACCCTAGTACTGTCAGGAGGAAGTGCTAACCTCTTAGCCACTGTGCTATTCCTGTGTTCAGATTTAGAGAACTGTGTTCTCTAAATCTGAACTCTGGGTATCTGTAAAACTTCATCTTGCGGTGGCCTCCTTCCCTTGCATTGCAAGGGTTAAATGCTCATTTTGTCTAGGTGGATAGAAATAAATACTTACCTTGTTGTTAACTCCCACAGTCCTCCTCCCAGCTTTACAACTGGTTCCCAAAGATTCTGTTTAACATTTAGGGGTACAATGCAGTATTCTGCTCATTCCTATCCACCTACACAAAAGGGCGGGGGGGGGGGGGGGGGCACTGCAGTGTGAAACTGTACAGATACGAAAGTTCAGGTTTGAAAATGTTTCATGAGATTGCACATTTCTATATAATGTTCATGAAAAAAAAAAAAAGGTTCCCCTTTTTATGGTCTCATGAACATGGACACACTTGGGCATACATTGCAGGAGCCTTTCTGTACCCGATAGAGATGCAGCTGGAGCATACAGCCACTCATAGTAATGAATGGCTGTTCACTAGCTGTACTCGAGTATGGGCTGCACGAGAGCAAATCCCTGGATGCACCACTTCCAGGCTCCATGCTCTCTGGCTTAAGAAAACACCAGTGCTCCTTGCAGAAGAAAATGAAAATTTTGAGCGTTTTTTTTTATGTTTTACAGAATTTAGGAGTGTTCAGCATATATTTCTGCCAAAAAAATGCTCTAAGGGTTCATGTACACTGCATCTGATAAACTCACATTCAGGAGCTTTTCTGCGTTTTTTTTTTTTTTTTTTTTAGCAGCCCCTGAACTCTCCCTAATGTTTTCCTATGTGTCCATGTACACAATGCCATCTACAATCATTTACAGTCAGTTGAGATTACAGTCGTGTTTTTGAATGCACCAATCTTGTGTTCAGGAGTAGATTTTATCAGCGTTTCAAATGCCAAATGCGTGTAAATGCGGCTAACTGTGTACTGCATTCCTAAAACTCAATCTATCCAAAACAGAGCTCATAATATTTCCTCCCCCACGTGCCTCTTTCCCTGATTTCTCGGTCAGGATCAATAGCACCACTATCAACCCATCCCCGCACTTCAAGGTGCTAGGTGTAACCCTGTATTCTGAACTATCCTTTCAGGCCCACATCCAATCCCTGTCCAAATCATGCCGCCTCAACTTCTGCAACATCTCCAGAATAAGCCCCTTTTTAACCAATGATACCACAAAGCTCCTAATTCACTCCCTGGTCATCTCTCGCCTCGACTACTGCAACTCCTTCCTCATTGGCTTACCTTTACACAGGCTATCCCCCCCTCCAGTCCATCATGAATGCTGCTGCCAGGGTCATCCACCTTACCAACCGTTCAGTGTCTGCTACCCCTCTCTGCCAATCCCTCCACTGGCTTCCACTCACCCAACGAATAAAATTCAAAATACTAACAACAACTTACAAAGCCATCCACAACTCTGCCCCCAGCTACATCACCAACCTGGTCTCAAAATATCAACCAAATCGCTCTCTTTGATCCTTCCAAGACCTTCTGCTCTCTAGTTCCCATGTCACCTCCTCCCATACTTGCCTCCAGGACTTCTCCCGAGCTTCTCCCATCCTATGGAACTCTCTACCCCAATCTGTCCAGCTGTCTCCTAATCTATCCACCTTTGAACGATCCCTGAAAACCTTTCTCTTTAAAGAAGTCTATCCTGCTTCTACCTAGTAAACTTCCTTTTATTTCCTCCATCAGCTCATCCCCCCCCCACAGCTATTACCTTTTGTATCACTCAACCCCTCCTCCTAGATTGTAAGCTCTAATGAGCCTGGCCCTCTGTTTCCCTTTTGTACCAAATTGTATTGTAACTGGAATGTCTGCCTTCATTTTGTAAAGCTCTGCGCAAACTGTTGGCGCTATATAAATCCTGTATTATAATAATAAGCGTTTGCGTTTAGAAGCATTTGTTCCATGTCCAGATGCTGTCCAGAGCCTTTTTTCATCATCAGAAATGCATGCGAAGCGTTTTCCATGTATTCAAATGGACCCGGTACACCAGCACAGTCAGTTCCAAGTTTTGCATGAAGGAAAATATGGTAGAACCATGAAGGAAAATATGGTAGAAAATATGGTAGCATTATGCTCATGATGGGATCCATAGTGAATACAACCAGAAAAGACAGGTCATCTCAACACATACTGCTCTCTCTGCTTCTGCTCTCTCTATTTCTCTCAAAATGTCTGAAATAGTTAATTTTTTACTGTTTTCGGTGCATTCTGGGCATTTTGGAGGGTCTCCTGATGTTATCTTTAAAAAATGCTTCTAAACGCAAACACACATAAATGCGCATAAACGCGGTATGCAAACGTGGCTAAACAGATGTTTTTTAACCTACGTTTTCCAGCAGTCAGTTTCCATCGTTCAGAAGTGTTTTCCAAATGTTCCGTGTACATGGAGCCTAATTATGCAAAACAGAAGGTTTTTTTTCTGCCTCTAAACGCTGACCTTAAAAATGCCTCTGGACAACCTAATGTTTAGGATAACATTAGTTGCTTTTACAAGCAAAACTCCTCTAAGAGCAGCATTTTTTTGTAAGCCAGTTAAGCTTACGTAAGTGAAGGTTTTGGTCCGATAATTAAATATTGCATGTAAATATTATAAAATATTTTGTAGAGCTGCAATGCTACTTTCATTGTCTCCTCTGCCTACCATTTTAAAATTATTGGTAGATCAAGGTAAATTTTCATACTTGAACTGAACAATTTAGACCTATTACTCTTCCCTTATCACAGGGCTCAGTACAAAGATTCAAGAAGAGACAGCTGTGTATAAAAGGAAGCTTCTTCTGCTGTGCAGTCTCTAGCAAACCCATAGTTTTTGAAAATGCTTTGTTATATATTTATTTGAAAAACAAAGATTGTATACAACAAAAGCATAAAAACCAAACACATTCTGCTACTCATAACCATCGCAGCGACACCATGTATGTGTATGCTTTATGTTGTTTATATCTATGAAAGAAGACTCCCTTCAGTGAGGCTGCATATGTGCATACACTTGATGTCATCTTTCTTAGGAGAGGAGGAGGGTGTTCCTCTTCTGAGTCATTCTGATCTATTCGTGCTATAGTGACTGTGGGAAAAAAAACTTCTTAGAGCACAGAACTAGTACTGAGCTTCACTTGGCTGAAAATGATAGCTATGGAATATATACATATGCAATATTTAATTTTTGCTGATAAAAACCCTCAGTTTTTATTTTTTCAATATGAAACATAATGAAGAAAAAAAAATATTGTGGATTCCACAGGGTTGATTTACTAAAACCGGAGAGTGCAAAGCCTGGAGCAGCTGAGCATGGTAGCCAATCAGTTTCTAACTTCAACTTGTTCAATTAAACTTTGACAAAAAGGAACTGGAAGCTGATTGGTTTCTATGAAGAGCTTCACCAGATTTTACACTTAATAGTTTAAGTAAATCAACCTCCATATCTTATGTCTCATGAACTATGCTGGTGAGATCTCTTGAATCTTCCTTCAATTACAAGATCTCTCGCTTACCAAGTTTCATTTAGAGTTACTTACCTTATACTACAAATGCAACAGGTAGAATCAGAACACTATGACACTCCAAATGGGCACAGACAGGGCCAGGACATGTGTTGGGGAAATTCAGGTCCTCGAGATATAACGCAAAAGCCTGAGTCTACCAGACTCCACCTGTAATGCAAATGTCCCATTTGGGTGGTCTAACCCTTACAATGCAATGTTTTTGTTTCTTTCACTGGACTGCGCCTTTAACTTTTGCAAGTTTGCAAAAGAGCAGTGTAGAGGAATGGGTTACTTCTGTAGAAGACTGGAGCGTTGAAATACTTGGCTGCTGATGATCAATACATACTGCCAGTACAGGAAATACTTCAGGGTTTCTCCATACTTCAGGCTTAGATTGGGAAATTAGAAGGAGATGTCACATGTCTGAGCCAAATGTGTGGTTACCAGTCACATGACTTCTCCTATTGCTGAAAAATACAATCTGCTGTTTTTTGCCTAGATAAAAAAATAATTCTGGTTTAGAACAAAGTATATAATAAGAATTAATGGGACACTCTTTTTAATAAATTATACAGTGGGTATAGAAAATAATCACACCTCTTTAAAATAATCACATTTTGTTGCTTTGCAGCCTGAAATGAAGACAGGCACAGTTTTTGTTTTATCCAGCTGTATTTACTTAGCGCAGCATATAACATCCAAGTGAAAGACATAAGACCAACATGTCAGAAAAAAATTCAAACACAGAATCACTGAGTTGGAAATGAGATCACCCCCTTGCATCAGTGTTTTGTTGTATTTCAATGGTTTTTATTAATTTTAAACAGTATAAAACAGAGGCAACAAAACACGCCCACGCAGGGGCTATCAATTGCACCGATAGAAAATGTATAATAGAGCAGACAACGCTCTAATTCCAATAAGGCAAAACGTATGCCCACGTAGGGGCTATCAATGGCACATAGGTTACAATAACATCAGTGAAACTCAGATTATCGCAACTAAAGACAGCTGTCCACTGTCACATCAAAACAAACAGAAA